TCCAAAATACACTGTAGAGATGGTTTGTGGGAGGTAAATTCTCTCAGCTTTTGCTTATCTGAAAATTGTTTAAACCCTCCTTCAAATTTAAATGATAATCTTGCCAGATAAAGTAATCTTGGTTTGAGGTCCTTCTGCTTCATTGCATTAAATACATCATGCCACTCCCTTCTGGCCTGTAAGATTTCTGCTGAGAAGTCTGATGATAGCCTAATGGGCTTTCCTTTGTATGTGATCTTATTTCTCTCTGGTTGCTTTTAATAGTCTGTCCTTATCCTTGATCTTTGCCATTTTAATTACTATACGTCTTGGTGTTGTCTTCCTTGGGTCCCTTTTGTTGGGAGATCTCTGGATCTCCATGGCCTGAGAGACTATCTCCTTCCCCAGTTTGGGGAAGTTTCCAGCAATTACCTCCTCAAAAACACTTTCTATCCCTTTTTCTCTCTCTTCATCCTCTGGTACCTGTATAATGCGAATATTGTTCCATTTGGATTGGTCACACAGTTCTTTCAATATTCTTTCATTCTTAGAGATCCTTTTTTCTCTCTGTGCCTCAGCTTCTTTGTATTCCTCTTCTCTAGTTTCTATTTCATTTATCATCTCCTGCACCATATCTAATCTGCTTTTAATACCCTCCATTGTGCTCTTCAACAATTGAATCTCCAACTGGAATTCATTCCTGAGATCTTGAATATTTTTCTATATCTACATGAGCATGTTAATTATTTTTATTTTGAAATCCCTTTCAGGAAGAGTCATGAGGTTGATGTCATTTAAATCTTTCTCAGGAGTTGTATTAATAATTTTACTTTGAACCAGGTTCCTTTGGCATTTCATATTTGTATATGGTGCTCTCTAGTGCCCAGAAGCTCTACCCTCTGGAGCTGTTCAGCCCCTGAAGCGATTTCAGGGGTCTCAGGGGGTGGTATTGGTGCCTGGGGGGAGGAAAGAGCTGTTTCCTGCTTCCCGGCTGCTATGCCTGTCTCCACTGCCTGAACCAGTGGGCCTTGCACACAGGTATAAGCCTCTATGCTTTGTGTTTGTAGTTGCTGTAGACAGATCTTCCCTCTGGCTGGCCTAATGCCAGGGTAGGATTTGCTGGTTTGCGAACCAGATGGGACTGGCCGGGAGAAAGGCGCAGTAGGCTGTGTATCACAGAGGGGGTCCTTGGAGCTGTATAGCCAGACAGAGAGCTGGAGCACCTGAAGATCGTGGAAGATCCCAACCTGCTGGGTAGAGTGCACCCAGACAATTTTGTCTACCTGTCCTTTCTCCTGAGCAGTAAGCTCTGTGCAATCCTTGCCCCTTTAGCAGCCCTCTTGCTAAGGGCTTCCTTGTTAGGAAGTCTCTCAGACTGCCTGCCTTTCTTTTGTCCCAGAGCAGCTAGATGTGGATCCCTGCTTTCCACAAGTGGCTGGAATCTCAGTCTCTCCAGGAATTCTGCCTGTCTTAGCTTTCCAACCCCTTAATCATGAGTGTACCAAGCAAACACATTGAAATGTAGGTTTTTGCTCCCAGAGCAGTCTCTGGAGTTAGGTATTCAGCAGTCCCAGGCCTTCACTCCCTCCCTGCTCCATTTCTCTTCCTCCCACCAGTGAGCTGGGGTGGGGGAAGGGCTTGGGTCCCACTGGGCCACAGCTTTGGTATGTTACCCTGTTCCATGAGGTCTGCTCTTTTCTACAGGTGTATTCAGTCTGGTGCATTCCTCTGTCCTGTTGCTCTTTCAGGATTAGTTGTATTAATTATATTTTCATATTATATGAGGTTTTAGGAGGAAGCCTCTGTCTCACCTCTCATGCCACATCTTTAATCCTCGCAAGGAAACTTTTTTTCACACATACAAAAATGTATGGCAAACTTCATGTTCTCCCCTGACATTTGGAACAATAAAAGAATGCTTACTGTCATCACTTCAATTCAAACTCATATTAGAGTTCCTAGCCACTGTAATAAGACAAGAAAATGAAAAGCATGAGAATTGGAAAGAATAAATATAATCTTCATCACTTACAGATGATATAATTGTCTACATAGGAAATCTATATAAAAAGTGTTACAATTAATAATTTTAGAAAAGTTTCTGGCTACAAGGAAAATTTACAAAAAATCAATTTTATATGTATGCATTATCAATAAATAGAAAATGAAACTTAGAAAACTAACATATACAGTACCAACAAAATTTATATGTGAAAATAAATGTAACATACGATGTGTAATATCTCAACTGAAAATTTAAAACATTAAAAGAAGATTTGAATGAGACTAGATGTAAATAAAGGATGTATCAGACCTTGGTTTATAAGACTAAATGGGAATATGTTAGTTCTCAAAATTTGTGTATATATTGAATTCAATTCTAGTCAGTAGCCCAGCAAGACTTTTATGGAAACTGAAAAGCTTATTCAAAAATTCCCATGGAAATGTAAAAAGCCAAGGACTTCACACTATGCAATATCAAGGTCTATCATAAAACTATAGTAATTAAGGTAGTAAGATATTCACACAAAGATAGAAAAATTGACTAATGGTAGGAAAGAGTCTAGAAACCCTTTCTAGGGTTTGATACCTGATTTATGATAAAGATGATAGTAAAATGATAAAAGATTATCTTTTTACTGAATGTTTCTGGGAAGTTGTATATCCAGATGGGGGAAAAATACATCAGACTCCTATCACACATGATATGCAAAAATCAGTTCCAGATGAATTGCAGATCTAAACATGAATGGTAATAAGCTTTTAGAGGGATACATAGGAGAATGCCTTGAAGACATTGGTGTAGGCAAATGGGACACAAAAGGCACTAACCATCAAAGAAAAATAGGTAAATAAGACCTCATTAAGATTATGAACTTCCGTTTATTAAAAAACTTCTTGAAGTGAATATGAAGGCAACCCACAGAGAGGGAAAAAAATACTTAAAACATATTAAGTATGACAAAAGACTTGTGTCCAAATTATATAAAGAAGCTTACACAAATCAAAAAGAAAAATACAGCCTAGCTTTAAAAAAATGGGTGAAGTACTTAGACACCTCAAAGAGGGGATATTTAAAGGATATTAAAACTATGACAGTGTGTCCAAATTTATTATCAGGGAATGCAAACTGAACCCACAATGAAACATCACTACACACAGGTTAAATGGCAAAAATGAAATAAAAAATACAAAATCTTCGCAAGGATGTGAAGGAGTGTGTTCATATATAATACCTATGGGAATATAAACTTGTCCAATAATTTTAAAAAATTGTTTGACAGTTTCTAATAAAGATGAACCCAGAAATCCCATCCCCAGGCATATACTGCACAGTAATATGCACATACATTCATTAAAAGGCATGCACTGTAATGTTCATAACAGCCCTATTTAAAATAACCCCAAAGTGAAAAATACCTGATTATCATCAATGGTACATGGATAACTAAACTATGGTATGTTCATATAAGAGAGTATTTTATAGCAATGAGAATAAATGATCTTCAATTATACATAGCAATGCAGGTGAATTTCATAAATGTTATGCTGAACATAAGAAGCTGGACATGGTATAATTCCTTTTAGAGAAGTGAAACAGGCCAAGCTAACCAATTCTATTTGAAGTGCAGTAAGGAAGGGAATCAATTTTATGGAAACATTAGGGGAATGCTGATTATAAGGTTGTGTTTATTTTGATAAATTTAAGTGATTTGTGTATTTTTCTGTGCATACTTTATACAACTGAAGTACAGTGGGGTAAAAGAGTTACAGAAATTGGCAAAATGGTGCCTGGCATGAGAAACATCAGACTTACAATGACTGAAAGCAAGGAGGAGCCTGTGGACATTGAGAAAGTAGAGGGTGGACCCTAGGCGATTACAGAAGAGCTCCAGTAGTAGAAGAAGAATGAGAGATTGAATGAATAGGGGTTCGTGGTCAGAGGGTAGGAAGTGGTAGATGTCAGATTTCCAAGGTGGACTGGTTTAGTATGATGGTGCAGTCCAGAGTGTAAGGGGCTGACATGAAAATTGGTGAAGGTCATGGAGTCCAAGACACAAGGGATTGAGAAGCCCACTTCTGTTGGCTTGGGTATGTCTTCCATGTGGATGGTGACAGAAGTCAGAAGTTCATAGGACTTGGAATGAGTCCGTTATCAAAATCTGTTCTTGTTTAGCTGCAAGAGCAAAACCCAAGTTAAACTACCTGAAGCAAAAATGAGAATGTATTACCCTCCATTAGGAAAAGGCCAGGATGGAGCTCCAAAAGTACTGGATCCAAGTGTTGTAACTGAAATGGGACTGCTTTCCTCACTAGCTCTCCTCAACTCTGCTTTTCTTGAATCAGTTTCTCTTACAGGCAGCCTGCCTCCACTAGAAGCTACAGGCAGCTCTGGCTGTAGGGTGCCTTTATAGCTCCTCATCCATGAAGGCACCAGGATTAATCTCAGGGGGGACATGGATTGACTCCATCTGGACCATTTGTCCACCCTTGAAGTGGGTGTGACTTCATCCTTCTGAACCGCATGCACTGAGAATGAGGGAGAGGCATGTGAAATCCACATGTCTGCCATGAAGGTTAGCCCCGAATTGGCCTGGTCTTCAGTGCTTTCTAACCAAGGAGGGTGCAGTGAAGAGGTGAGGGCTGTGCTTCCTGTATAAGCTGGGCATCACCAAGAACACTCACTGCGTGAACACTCACTGTGTGCAGGAGGAGAACCACACAGGGGGACTGCCCAAGGCCAGAAGCTGTCTGAATCATGTGGCAGGGGAGGGGAGGGCAGCAGCAGCCAGCCAGCTTGACAAAGAAATCGGGCCTGTGCTAGGTCATTGCATCTCCACCCCATATTTAAATTTCCTCACCTCAGAGCTTTCTGCTCTCTTCCTAACTGATCAAGTGTGCCCTCTTCATTTCAGCCAGCTGGAGGTGTTTTTGCTTCATCTTCCTGTTTGTCTATAATGTTTATCTTGCTTTTCCATCTTGTCTCTGTGTGCATTGCTCTTTTCCTGGCCTTGTCTCAGGGAGGAGGAGGAAAAGGAGAATGAGGAAGAGGAGCAGCCAGTCACGGAACCCAATTCAGAGGAAGAGAGAGAGGAGGAGGCCCGCTGTCAGGACAAGGACAGGTACCGAGGGCTGGATCCTCCCAGGCTCTCACTACCAGCTCGGGGCTTCTCCCTAACAGATGGTTTACAGCCACCTTTTAGTAGTTTCCTCTCTTCCTCACCAGCTCCCACTGGCAAAGCTTTACCCTGAACACAGAGTCACAGAGAGACTCATTTTGTAGGAATACCTAATCATGTTTTCATTAGAAAGCTGCACTTTCATTCAAATACTGCCTGCCTAACCATGCTTTATGGAAAAGTCACCTAACTCGTTTTCTCCCACTTTTCCTTCCATTATTGGTGCTTTGGCTCAGTCAGATTGACAGTGACTAAAAAGATGTTCATCTCTGCTCAGAAAGTGTTAACCCTTTCAGCACTGTAGCAAGAATAATTCCATGTGTCACCTTCTTCCTAATTTTATCAATATAATATTAGCTGAAATGTGTGGATAACTACTATATTAATGATGCAAGTTTGTTTTTTATCCAAATGGACAGGAGCACTTTTTACCCCATACAGCATAGAAAAATTTCAGTATTTATTTTCATGCCCAGAGCAAGTAACATCTCTACAGCCCTTTGGGGAGATTACTGTTCTCTGCTCACACCTTTCTAAGGTGTATTATTTCTGTTTTCAAGGCAATGTTGACAGACAAAGCCATCTCACAGATATTTTTTAATTCTGTAGGTATTTTCCCAAAATGTGGCTGTATAAAAAATAAAAATCGATCACAGGTAATTTCATTTTCTAATATTCAAAAATAATTCCAAAGTTGAACAGTTTACTTCACATAACTGATTGCCACTGAAACTGACATTTTTAATGTTAGTTTTTCTACAAATAAGCAAAATCAAAAGAATGTTGGGTGAATTGGGATAAAATCTTTCTCCTACCAACTTTAAAGTCCATGTGATTCTTTGCTGCTGTGGCCTTATCTCCAGGCCACCAAAGCGCATGAAAGTTCTCAAGTATTTGATACATTGAGACCTCCACTGGGGGTCATGGAAATCTTATCTGAACTAACAAACTAATGATTGTTTCCCCCCATTAGAAATATCTGGGAATGAGACAAGAAGGATGTGGAGGAAAGAAAGGAATGACCTGGTGACAGAAGTGAGCCACACATTTCAGAGTAAGAGGGAGAGAGGCTGGCATTAACCAGAGCCCCTCGCCCATGCATAGCTGCCATGCTCAGATTTTTCAGTTACAGGTGCTCTAGGAAGGGAGAAGTTTATTTGACAGACCCACCTTAGGTCAAAAGCTAGCCACAGGACCCTCAGTAAATACACTGGTAAGGATCTATTTGCACTTAAATGATCATGTTATGTCTCACCTACCCAAACCCTTCAAACAACTCAGCACCTGGGACCAGAGGGAAGAATCTGTCTGGGAAGGGCCATCTTCAAAGGCATCCCTGTAACTTGTACTGTCTTTATACAGAATTGTTGTTTACACGGGTAGATGGTTCTTTATCACTCTGAAGTGTCTTTTTTCATCCATGAGTGAATGCTGGAGGGCATCCTTGATCAAAGACTATAGTTAGGCTTTCCAGTTTTAGAAAATAAAAGTATGCATGTTAAACACCAGGGCTTGACCTTGACAGTACCTAAGGCAGCATTAACATTGACCTAGGGGTTGTTTGTTCCCTGATGTGATCCCATCAGACTTTAAAGTGTGCAAAAAGAGTCTGCTTATTTCTGTTGGGTTGGTGTCTTCCACTGCTCCCCTGCATGCTGGCTGCCTCTCTGTGTGTGCCCACCACGTGTGCCTGCAGGGCAAGCACGCCGCATGTGCCAGCCTGCGCTGAGCACTGCAGTGTGGCCTCACTCCATCCTCTCATCAAGCCAGGGAACACACATATGGAGCTCTGAATTTAAGGTAGGAGAGAAAACAGCTTATCCCATTCCCAGAACCATGACTGGGGGTCTGGTTCTCTGGGAGACAAATGGTGGTTTTGAAAAATGTTGAGTTTAACATAGATTCTCAGACTATAAAGGTGCATGTCAAAATATCTAAATGGTCTAAATCTAATCCTCTGAAGGTGGAAAGTTTTTACAACTAACTGGTAGAATTAGGCCTGCCTGAAGGAGTCTAGATGTAGAGGGCTGAGCAGTATGAAAGGCCTTGAGGAGAGTGTGAAATGAGCAATATTTGTATTCCTTATGCTGGATCCCCCCTTTCTGGCTCTGCATTCTTTGCTGGCATCTCTCCTTTTCCTATCCTATTTGTACCTGCTTTTGAGAAGCATCTGAAAACTGTGGCTAAAATTCTAGTGCTTAGGGGGTAGCTCTTCCTCAAGACTGGGCTTTTTAGGAAGAGGACAGATACTGTGACCAAGATAAAGAAATGAAATTCAAACTCTGGAAATTTGGGTGCCAGCACAACCAGTGGGGAGAAACTTGGAGGGGAAGGGGGGTGGTGCAGTTGGTGGCTGGGGCTTGGGTGTAGAAGAGACTTTGGGTCTCCATCAGACCCCCTCGCAAAGGCCTCTGTATGCCCAGAGGCCAGGCTGGTCTGCACGGAGGTGTCCTTGCACTCTGCAGGTCTTACCTTCCAGATTGGCAAGCCCAGGATGCCCGTATTGTTGGGTGAGCAAAGCTGCTGGCAGTGGGCTTTTATGCAGCCATTCAAGAAGCACAGCTGGATTCTGAAGTAAGCGGCTGTGACAGCACTGGGTTTTCAAGTGTGTCTTTCTCTTTCCTAACCTTTTCTACTCTTTCCCAAATCTCTTTTCTGCCCCTACCTCTCCACCTCCCCTCCTCCCTGCCGGGCTACAGAGAGGCCAGCCCTGCCTCAGAGCAGGACTCCACTGGAAATGATGCTGCTCCCCAGACTTCAGCCCTCCCTGCTGCCTCAAATGCCACCTTGCAGGGAGAGTGGCTTCCGGCCAGCGCCACCGTGGGGCCTGCCCACCTGCTGCCCCCCACCCCTGCCTTGGCATCTTGGCTCTCCTCCACCACACCAGGCCCCCCAAAGGCTTCGCTGACCATAGAAAAGCTGCCCTACGTGCCCCACAGCCCCTTCCACCTCTTCTCCTATGACTTTGAGGATTCACCCTTATCCACCAAGGAAAAGGAAACCGAGCCGCAGAAGGAAAGCAGGTAGATCCGGCCCAGTGAAGGCCTGTGTGAGCTTGACCCCGGGGGAGGTGACACAGCATGCTAACTGCACCGTCTGGCTCGTCTTCTGCCATGTTGCTGTGGATTCCAGTCAGAGCAGAGAGCAGCTAGGCTTACACTAACTCCGTGACCACTAACTAAATAATCCCCAGTGTTCAGGCAAGACGGAGAAGAAAACTGTCACCTGTTTGAATTCAGGAGCTCATTTGTTATAATACTAAAAATGGATTTTTAAATATCAGGTTTTTAAAAATATGCATGGTCTGACAAAATGTATACATTTTGCCTCCATCTGCTGGTATGGGGTCTTTCTTGACTCACACAATATGTCGAAGTGCTCTGCCATCTCTCCATGCTATGTTTGGAGAGGAGTTTTCCTTCCTTTTACAGTTCCTCTGATTCTCTCCATTTGAGCACATGTTTTGCCTCTGAGCCTTACAACTTTCAGTCTTTCTCTTCTAATGGGTGGGTGTCTTCTTATCATCTTTTGCTTTTCTATAGCTTTCCATTTTTATTCTAATTGTATGCATTTTTCTTCCAAAGATCGATCATAGCTTCCCACAAGATGGCAAACAGTCGCAGTGTGCACCACTTCAGAAGCATTAATATCATTACATTGTTTAAGTATGAGCACTTCAATAAAAACTAGAGGGGTGGGGCAGAGGGCGGGAAGTGTGTAAAGCCAAACGGAATTTTTAGCAGGTTCTTGGCTTCCCTATATGCCTGCGCTTCACTGTTGCCTGGATTAGGAACTCTGCAGAGTGGGGAACAGGAAACAGAAGGCTTGAATATTTTGAACAATCAACTGTCTCAAATCAATGATTGGTAATACTGATGGCCACTCCCATCTTGGAGCAATAATAATTAATAATTTATTGAGTATTTCTTATGATCTAGGCCCTATAACTTTCCATGAAATTAGTACTTTAAGGGATCATTTAACTCTTAAGAGCAAGGTCCTGTTGCTAGCCCATTATTGACAAGGAAACTGAGCACAGAGAGGCGAGGGAAGTGGGAAGTGATTTTTGCCGTAAGCACCCTGCTACAGAGTTTGGCCCCAACCTGTACATTGTGCAGTCTTCTCTTTTAGACAGCCTGTTATTCTCTCTCTTTTCTGGGCCCATCTACACAATAACTCCAAATGGCCGTCCCCTACCCTGGCTGCTCCGTGCCAGGGGTTCTTCGGGCAAGTGCTTTCCAGCAAAATGCTTTTGCCAGAGTCTATGTTTGGAGGACCCTCAGCCTGCATGCCCAGTAAGAAGTTATACCTTGTTTTGAATGAAGGCTTACAGGACCCAAACCTGGCGGACAGCCTTTCACACCACAAAAATGGCTGGTTGCTATGGGTGTTGGCATTCCATCTATAAATAGGAGAAGTAATCTAGAACTGTGGTCATCAACCTTTTGTGCTTACAACCTTAAAGAATTTTGAAGCTTACCTCAAAGTTTTAAGTAGCCTGTCTAAAGTTTTTTACTGTAAGTTTAAATAGCTGTAAGGGGTATTGTCTATTTTATATGAGCTTTAAAATTATTTTTATGAAAATCTTTGGGCTTCAGTTTTAAATGATTAAATTATAAAAAACACCAACATATGCCTAACTGGCAAAGCTGGTCCTCAGTCAGAGGAGACTTAATTTCTATCAGAAAAAGTCTGAATTCATCTTTCAGTTCAAATAAGCTAATATTCTTCCCTGTGACAGCCGTCTCAGGTCTGGGGTCTGATCCACAGGTTGGTGGAGATATAGAGGGAATCTGTGAGATCTGGTCTGAGTTTATTCCTGAATAAAAAAAGCACTGCCTTCCCCTTCCTCAGTATTTCTTAAGGAATTCACTCCAGAATGAGGCTTTCCTATATTGTTCCTTTGCCTGGCTTCCTGGAGGCACAAAGCGGTGCCCCACACTGATTCAGCCTGGGTGACAGTGTTCCTTCGTTTGCTGAAAGTGTAGGGCAATTGTGGGAGGAGAGGCCTTCCCCTCCTGGGAGACCCTAGGAGTGGTCACAGGCAGATCCATTTTAAGGAAGAGCAAATATGGAACTTCAGGATCTGAGACTTCATTTCCTCTTGTTTCCAGAATGGCTTTGAGTACCTTCAGGAGTATGTGAACTCCAGCTTGAACACTCTAAACTACAAGTTCTCTATGAGTCTTTTCCAGGTCTTAAGTTCTGGGTTTGCTGTGATTTTCCATACAATCTTTGTGGAACACATCCAACATGGTTTTTATGTGCTCCTCAAACAGTACCTATGTGCGAGTTAAGAGCTCTACATTTACTGGAATAAAAATATCTTGGCAAGCGCATCTCCCCAGCAGGCTGGTGGTAGCCCATGTTGGTTATCCTGGATCTTATGGTGAGATTTTCTCAGCCTCTGATGGGGCTTTCCTACCACTGGTGTCCACTACTCCTTACAGTCCTGGGGGATTGGATCAATAGGACTATAACTTGCCTAGCTGAATATACATGTAAACTGAGAAAAACAGCCACATGCTTGCAAATGAGGATTGACTTATGTTTAACTGAGAAACGTTTACAATTTTTAATCATTTGAAAGAAATTCAAATACAATATAAATAATTGTTTGTACCTATTAATTTTCTGATGTTCACTCACTGGTTTTTGTGAGGTCTTTACTGCTCAGTGGTTGACTGTAATTGAACTGATTAAAAGAGATACAATCCATTAGTCAATACAAAAAACCAAGGAGATAAAAAATGAACAGTAAACAGAGTGAATTGTATGATCCAGTTAGTTTGGCTGAAACTGAGAAGCAAAATTGGACAGACTGTGAAGTATTTGAATTAATTGCTCAACAATTAGAAAAGCCAAAGGAAGGAAAAATGTGTTATGCTTGTTTTATTACCACAATACCAATTAAACATAATTTTAGTTAAGTAATCCTGTTAAATATTCTAAAGGATGCCCACTTTTAGACAGGAAAGGATGGTTGTAGGTGCCCGCATAGAATAGCAAGCTGAGCATCCAGGTAGCTGGGTGACTCAGGGCAGAGGCCTGAGCACAGGGGCCTCATCTCCCCGATGACTCTGAGCTCCTGGTGGCAGCTGCTTTCCCCTCCCCTCCCATATTGCAGGGCTTGCTGCCTTCATTCTCTTACTCTTCTTTGCTCCTGAGCTTTTTTCTCCGGTCTCTACTTCTTCCTTTCTTTGTATGTTCTTCTCTGCTTTTCTGCCTTCTCCTTGGCCCATGGTTTGGGCCCTCTTGAAAAAAGAAAACCATCACTTGGAGAAGCAGTTAACCTCATGGACAGGTAGAGTGTGGGGTTTTTACAGAGAAGAGAAAATGATGTCCAGAAACCAAGCCCCATAAAGGTGATGTGTTAGCAGACAAGGACACTGAGGTAAAACTGGGTGATCTGAGTCCCCATCTGCCTGGCTGAGTGCCTGGTGCTGAGCACAGGCCTAGCATGTAATACCAAATAAACAAATAAGAGCAAAGGCCAAGCAGACCACACTTAGCAACACAGGGTAGACTTGGGGTAATATAAATATTTTATTTCCTGTTATAATGTAATTTAAGGAAAATGGAAAATTCATCTCTATATTCCACATTTTAAAATAGATGGATTTTCTTCTACACATTTTCTCTACAAATAGTTTTTTACGTTTGAGAATATTTTTGTACAGTTGTGATCCAACTCCATGTAAATTATACCCTGATGTTTCAACTTAGCATGTCTATAAATATTTCCATGCCATCACTTACAAAACTGGCTATCATTTTTAATGGTTGAATAATATTCCACTGATGAATAATATACTTTCTTAGCCATTCCTGCTGGGTGATTTCCAGTTTGTCACCATGATCTCATGATGCTCCAGTGAGTGCATCCCCCAACACTTACAACATATAAGTAACCAAAACCTTCCCAAAAGCAGGTTTGCTCTGTCAAAGGCTATCCATATTTGAAGTTAAGTTGCTTGCCAGAATGGTTAGTGCTGATTTCTGTTGATGGGAGTTTGGACTGGATTCTCTGTGCAGGAAGGTCTTTGTATATTTATGTCATAGTGACTATTAGAGCCCCACACACCCAAGTACAGTGTCCCTAACCAGTTTAGGAGAAGGAATCTGCCCTGCCTCATGGCTAAGTTAAGAGGCAAAGCTCTCTGAATCTGATCAGGAGTGTCTGCCCCCAGGTAAGGGCTTCAAAAGATAATTTTTTTTTCTCTTGGAATGCACTGAATGATGATAGCTAAATACAAACTGCCAAAGGACAGTTATTCTGAAAAACGGAAAGAAAACTAGAATCTTACAAATCCTGATACTTGTCAGAGATGACTGGGAAATGGTAAAAGTTATAGTGGCTGTAATTTTCCATCAGAGAAAATACTGGATGAAAACATTAATACATGCCCCTCTAAGCAGCCAGCCAATTCAGAAAGGCTGAGGACATTTTCTGCATGATCACTGGGTGTGTGATGAGATTACATGTAATGAATGAAACTGATTTGGAAATACTTGAAGCAAAATTTTTAATAAGCCATTTCTTTAACCAACTAGCTGGTATTTTCTACACATCTTTAATGAATTTAACACTAATTGTACCATCATGAGATGCAAGAAAAATATTCATGATGCAAATGAGAATAATATGAATTCTTAATTTTTTTTTTGAATTCTTAATTTATGTTCACAAAAAATTTTAATGTACATTTTAAAAGTAAGGAAATATGAGGTTCTTATTTAAATGCTTTGTCATAAATCCTGCTTCCTAACAGTTTTGGTTTTGGGGAAACTTGGATAATGGAAATAATCAAAACAAAGCAGTTACTAAATCTCTTTAAGTTAGAATAATCACTAAGAACATTAGCATGTCCAAACCTGTTTTTCTTGCAAATTTAACAGATTGCTAAATATTTATTTATTGACTTGTACTCATTTATCTGTCTTACCTCCACCACCAACTTAATCCTCTGCACTCTTTAGGTACAGCAGCTTTGGTAACAACTCCTATCACACAGGACCTTCATCTGCAGCCACTGTGCCCACCACCCTGACAACACCATCCATTTCACCTTCCCCGGAGGCCAGGCTGGAAAGGTAGGTTTTAGAGGAAGCATGGTGATGACTTCACTATCCTCAAGTGAAAGAAATAAACTTGATCAAGAGTAAAGGAATGGTATAACTAAAAATTATCATCTGAAGTATTTTCTCTTTTTTATAATATAGTCCAAAGGTAAAAATGTTTTCTCTCTTTCACATTGTTTACTAAATAAATATTTTATTAGAGGTGATATTTTATTTTTACTATTCTTTCATCTCCCTACATATTTTACATAGAAAGTATAAAAATTTTTTCTAAAATATTTTTAGTAAGTTTTCATTGATATATACTCTTATGAAGGTTTCACAAGAAAAATAATGTGGTTATTATATTCACTCTTATTATCGAGTCCGCCCCCATACTCCATTGCAGTCACTGTCCATCAGTGTAGTAAGATGCCACAGAGTCCCTATTTGTCTTCTCTGAGCTACACTGCCTTCCCCGTCACCCCCCACACACCATGTGCACCAATCATGATACCCCACAATCCCCTTCTCCCTCCCTCCCCAACTGCCCTCCCACACCCCTCCCCTTTGGTAACCACTAGTCCCTTCTTGGAGTCTGTGAATCTGCTGCTGCTTTGTTCCTTCACTTTTGCTTTGTTGTTATATCCACAAATGAGGGAAATTATTTGGTATATGTCTTACTCTGCCTGACTTATTTCACTGAGCATAATACCCTCTAGCTCCATCCATGTTGTTGCAAATGGTAGGATTTGTTTCTTTCTAATGGCTGGATAGTATTCCACTGTATATATGCACATCTTTTTTATCCACTCATCTACTGATAGACACTTAGGTTGCTTCCATATCTTGGCTATTGTAAAAGTGCTGTGATAAATATAGGGGTGCATATGTCTTTTTGAATCTGAGAACTTGTTTTCTTTGGGTAAGTTCCTAGGAGTGGAATTCCTGGGTCAAATGGTATTTCTATTTTTATTTTTTAATTTTGGAAATGCTAATGTTCTTAGTGATTATTCTAACTTAAAGAGATTTAGTAACTGCTTTGTTTTGATTATTTCCATTATCCAAGTTTCCCCAAAACCAAAACTGTTAGGAAGCAGGATTTATGACAAAGCATTTAAATAAGAACCTCATATTTCCTTACTTTTAAAATGTACATTAAAATTTTTTGTGAACATAAATTAAGAATTCAAAAAAAAAAATTAAGAATTCATATTATTCTCATTTGCATCATGAATTTTTCTTGCATCTCATGATGGTACAATTAGTGTTAAATTCATTAAATATGTGTAGAAAATACCAGCTAATACCTCCATATTGCTTTCCACAGTGGCTGAACTAGCTTACATTCCCACCAGCAGTTTAGGAGGGTCCCCCTTTCTCTGCATCCTCACCAGCATTTGTTGTTACTAGTCTTTTCAATGATGGCCTTCCTAACTGGTGTAAGGTGATAATTCATTGTGGTTTTAATTTGCATTTTCCTGATAATTAGCCATGTGAGAATCTTTTCATGTGCCTGTTGACCATCTAAATTTCTTCTTTGGAGAAGTGTCTGTTCATATTCTCCACCCATTTTTTAATCAAGTTATTTGCTTTTTGGGTGTTGAGGCATGTGAGTTCTTCATATATTTTGGATGTTTAACCCCTTGTCAGATATGTCATTTACAAATATATTCTCCCATACCGTAGGATGCCTTTTTGTTCCTCTGATGATGTCCTTTGCTGTACAGAAGCTTTTAAGCTTGATGTAGTCCCATTTCTTCATTTTGTATTTTGTTTTCCTTGCTTGAGGAGATACGTTCAGGAAAAAGTTGCTCATGTTTATATTTAATGTAGTTTTGCCTATGTTTTCTTCTAAGAGTTTTATGGTTTCATGACTTACATTCAGGTCTTTGATCCATTTTGAGTTTACTTTTGTATATGGGGTTAGACAATAATCCAGTTTCATTCTCTTGCATGTGGCTGTCCAGTTTTGCCAATATCAGTTGATGAAGAGGCTGTCATTTCCCCCATTGTATGTCCATGGCTCCTTTATCATATATTAATTGACCATATATGCTTGGGTTTATATCTGGGCTCTCTAGTCTGTTCCATTGGTCTATGGGTCTGTTCTTGTGCCAGTACCAAATTGTCTTGATTACTGTGGCTTTGTAGTAGAGCTTGAAGTCAGGGAGTGTAATACCCTCCCCCAATTTATTCTTCCTTCTCAGGATTGCTTTGGCTATTCGGATCTTTTGTGGTTCCATATGAATTTTAGAACTCTCTATTTTGTTGAAGAATGCTGTTGTTATTTTTATTGGGATTGCATTGAATCTGTAAATTGCTTTAGGCAGGATGGCCATTTTAACAATATTAATTGTTCCTATCCATGAGCATGGAATGTGTTTCCATTTATTGGTATCTTCTTTAATGAGTGTCTGGTAGTTTTCAGAATATAGGTCTTTCACTACCTTGGTTAGGTTTGTTCCTAGGTATTTTACTCTTTTGGATGCAATTGTGAATGGAATTGTTTTCCTGATTTCTCTTTCTGCTAGTTCATCATTAGTACCTAGGAATGCAACAGATTTCTGTGTATTAATTTTACATCCTGCAACTTTGCTGAATTCGGATATTAGACCTAGTAGTTTTGGAGTGGAGTCTTTAGGGTTTTGTATGTACAATATCATGTCATCTGCAAAAAGTGACAGTTTAATTTCTTCCTTGCCAATCTGGGTGCCTTTTATTTATTTGTCTTGTCTGATTGCTGTGGCTAGGACCTCCAGAACTATGTTGAATAAAAGTGGGCAGAGTGGGCATTCTTGTCTTGTTCCCAATCTTAAAGGTAAAGCTCTCAGCTTCTCATTGTTAAGTATGATGTTGGCTGTGGGTTTGTCGTATATGGCCTTTACTATATTGAGGTACTTGCCCTCTATACCCATTTTGTTGAGAGTTTTTATCATGAATAGTTGTTGAATTCTGTCTAATGCTTTTTCAGCATCTCTGGAGATGATCGTTTGGTTTTTGTCCTTCTTTTTGTTGATGTGGTGGATGATGTTGATGGATTTTTGAATGTTGTACCATCCTTGCATCTCTGGAATAAATCCTACTTCATCATGATGGATGATATTTTGATGTATTTTTTAATTTGTTTTGCTAATATTTTGTTGAGTGTTTTTGCATCTATGTTCTTCAGGGATATTTGTCTGTAATTTTCTTTTTTTTTTTGTGGTGTCTTTTCCTGGTTTTGGTATTAGAGTGATGCTGGCCTCATCTAATGAGTTTAGAAGTACTCCCTCCTCTTCTACTTTTTGGAAAACTTTAAGGAGGATGGGTATAAGGTCTTCACTAAAATATTTGATAAAATTCAGCAGTGAAATCATCTGGATCAAGGGTTTTATTCTTAGGTAGTTTTCTGATTGCCAGTTCAATTTCCTTGCTGGTAATTGGTCTATTCATTCAGCCTTGGAAGGTTGAGTTGTTCATTTCTTCTAGGTTACCCAGTTTGTTAGCATATAATTTTTCATAGTATTCTCTCATAATTCTTTGTATTTCTGTGGTTTCCATAATGATTTTTCCTTTCTCATTTCTGATTCTGTTTATGAGCATAGAATCTCTATTTTTCTTGTTATGTCTGCCTAGGGGTTTATCTATTTTGTTTATTTTCTTGAAGAACCAACTTCTGCTCTCATCAATTCTTTCTATTGTTTTATTCTTGATTTTATTTATTTATGCTCTAATCTTTATTATGTCCCTCCTTCTACTGACTTTGGGCCTCATTTGTTCTTCTTTTTCTTGTTTCTTTAATTGTGAGATTTGGCTGTTCACATGGGATTGTTCTTCTTTTCTGAGGTAGGCCTGTATTGCAATATACTTCCTTTTTAGCACCGCCTTCACTGTGTCCCACATATTTTGTGATGTTGAATTCTTGTTGTCACTTGTCTCCATATATTGCTTGATCTTGTTTTTATTTGGCCATTGATCCATTGATTATTTAGGAGTATGTTATTAAGCCCATGTGTTTGTGGGCTTTTTCATTTTCTTTGTGTAATTTATTTCTAGTTTCATACCTTTGTGGTTGAGAAGCTAGTAAGTAAAATTTCAATATTTTTGAATTTGCTGAGGCTCTTTTTGTAGCCTAGTATGTGTTCTATTCTTGAAAATGTTCCATGTGCACTTGAGAAGAATGTTTATCCTGTTGCTTTTGGATGGAGTGTTGTGTAGATATCCATTAGGTCCATCTGTTCTAGTATGTTGTTCAGTGCCTCTGTCTCCTTACTTATTTTCTGTCTGTTTGATCTTTCCTTTGGAGTGAGTAGTGTGTTGAAGTCTCCTAAAATGAATGCATTGCATTCTATTTCCCCCTTTCATTGTATTAGTATTTGTTTCACATATGTAGGTGATCTGTGTTGGGTGCATACATATTTATAATAGTTATATCCTCTTGTTGGACTGACCCCTGTATCATTATGTAATGTCCATCTTTGTCTCTTATTACATTCTTTGTTTTGAAATCTATTTTGTCTGATTCAAGTACTGAAACACCTGCTTTTTTCTCCCTATTAGTTGCATGAAATATCTTTTTCTATCCCTTTACTTTCAATCTGTGTATGTCTTTGGGTTTGAGGTGAGTCTCTTGTAGGCAGCAAATAGATGGGTCTTGTTTTTTTATCCATTCAGTGACTCTATTCTTTTGATTGGTGCATTGAGACCATTTACAATTAGGGTGATTATCGATAGGTATGTACTTATTGCCATTGCCAGCTTTAGATTCATGGTTACCAAAGATTCAAGGGTAATTCCCTTACTATCTAACAGTCTAATTTAATTCACTTAGTATGCTATTACAGACAAAACCTAAAGGTTCTTTTTTTTCCCCTCATTTTTCTTCCTCCTCCATTCTTTATATATTAGGTATCATATTCTGTACTCTTTGTCTATCCATTGATTGACTTTGGGGGTAGTTGATTTGATGTTGCATCTGCTTAGTCATTACTTTTTCTACTTTCTTTACTGTGCTTTTATTTTCCCTGGTGACAGCTCTTTAGCTTTAGGAA